ATGGATCATACTTAATATATGTGAAAGTTTCAATTCTAAGCCCATTATTTTGTTTGTGTTTCTATATACAAAAAAAGATTATTATACTCTTATTGACATGTGTTGGGTTTGTGGCTTATACTCCATCTTATCCCATGAAAATGGAAAGAAAGCTTTTCAAGCGTGAACCTTAGCTAGCTTTGAAGAGAGCTGGAGACTCAGTGTGATTCAGAGTTGTAGAAATTTGTGATTTCCTCACCACTGAAGAGCTCAATAGACCCTTAGAAAAGTGACTCTCCCAAGTTGCTAATTTGTGTGAGATGGTCGTTGTTTGTTGTCACTGTTAAAAGCACTAGGTGTTCTCAAATCTTTGATTTTCTCTTCAGCATATTATTAAAACCTTAAAAAAAGAGGTGACAAAACCTGTCTTTCTTCAGCCAGCTATACAATTTACACAAGCTAAAAAGCACACAATTCATGTGTCAAGGAAGGCTTTGGGAACAGCTTAACTGAAAACATGAGGTAAGAGCTGGGTTTCCATTTTCAGTGGCAGTGAATAAAGAGTGCAGGAGAACAGGAAGAGTTGTTTGGAACACACGATATGCCACTTATGTTGAGAACACCCTTCTGGCTTGCTCTTTATGAGAAAGAAATACAAAAGGAGTGACAAAGCCTGAGATACCGTCGAAGCCCTTCACCCCTTCACAGGGTGGCACACGTAGAACTGCTACCTGACACTGTCCCTGCTAACTAGAGGAACCTCTGTGACATTAGCCTAGTCTTGAATGAATTCTAGTCTAAGGTGTGCCTCCATCAGGACAGCCTTGAAGCATACTGTTCTAGTCTAAAAATCGCACCATTTCACACATGTGGTCTGCTTTTCTTGCCAAATATAGGAGACAGCTCAACAAAGGACAGCTTAAAGGCATGGATGCTTTAAAAAAAAAAAAGTACCCAATTTGGAGTCTGTCCAGCTGTAGGCACTAGGCAGCTGCCCCGAGTACATCCTTCTCTCGTTTCCAAGAGTGTGAGGAAGAAGGAGGTTTTTGTTTTGTTTTGTTTTGAGATTTCTGATTATGTATTCCCTCTTCCCTCCTGCTCTTTCCCCCAGAACTAAAGTGCAGAGGATCCCTAGCCTGCCTTAAAGGCAGTGCAAGAGCGTGAGAAAGAGCTCAGTTGTTTCGGTTCAGACAGGAGGAACCAAGTTTGATCCCCAGAATCCATGTGAAAGCCACATGTGGTGGTGTGTGATGGAGATGGATCCCCAGGATCCTTGTGAAAAGCCAGGTGTTGTGGTGGTGTGCTTGAGTTGGATCCCCAGGATCTGTGTGAAAAGCCAGGTGTGGTGGTGTGTGCTTGTGAACCCAGTGATGGGGCAGCAGAGACAAAGCAGCAAACTTTGCAAAGCATAGGCTAGGGAGACACCTTGTCTCAAAATAACATGGTGGACAGCTTCTGAGGAGTGACACCCAAGACTGTCCTCTGAGTTCCACATATTCACATGTATACATGTGAACTTGCCACACATACATGAAAAGAAAGGGAAAAATATACTAGACTCCTGTGTCTCCCAGAAATTCCTTTCAAGGCAAGGCTTTCCAGTGAAGACTTTGGCAGTGTTTCCCCCTGAGCTTTGGAATGGAGCAAAGTCAGGTTCAAGCTTTAAGGTGCACAGAACCGTGCTCCTTACCCCCATGTGCTTTAATTTGCTAAAGCAAAAGTAGAGGAGAGATTTAATAACAAAGAAAAGCACTGGTTCTGACCGCCTCACTTGGAATTATAACCCCACCTCAGCCCTACTGTGGTCCTGAGGCAGGCCTTGCTCTTTCCTGCCATGGACCATTGCATAGGTGCTTATTCCACTTGAAGCTGTCTTTGCCATCTTTCACCAACCACCCTCTCCCCATTTGCCTAGTTAACTTCCATAGGTTCAGCACATCTCAATTTGAACTTTGCTTCCTCCATGACCGGTGTGACCCTGATAACCCTATGGAAGACATCCTCCTCCAAGGACTGCCAGCAGATACCTTGCATCTCTTCTTATGGCTTATTTTTAATTAACTTTTACCTCTCTGACCTGCTGTAATTTATACTATGGTTGGGACTTGCTGTCTATTTAGCTCCTTATGATATCCCACGTGTCTACCATGTAGCAAGTGCTTAGTAAATATCTGATGACTTATTGAATGAATGCATGCATGCATGCATTGATTCCACTCTTCTTAGTTTACTTCAGATCTGTTTTAGTCAAAATAGTTGATAGTAGCTTGAAAAGTCTTATAACTAAATGCCACTCTGTGGCTTTAGCCCCATCAGTAAGAAAGGGTGATGGAGCCTATCTGAAGCAGTGATAAAGGCACAGTCAAGAACCAAAATTGTGCCAGTCGCTTTCTCCAAGTGCCTCTGGAAAAGAGGAGCAGCCTAGCACCTGTGGCCACAGCAAGAAGCCACATGCATTTCCAGAACTGGCTGCAGTGCTTTTGTTTGAGTCCATCACAATTTCTAGGTGGATCTTCAATCTCCAGATGTTTTAATGATGCTATCACCTAACTGAAAAAAGAAATTAACACTGTGACCTAAGAGGTAGTCAATAAGTACCATACAGTGTAGTAGCTTTTATATCCCATCCAAATTGATTTTTAAAAGGGTGTGTCTGACATTCAGAGAATTCTCAGAAGGTTTACTAAAGCTCAGCTGTCCTGATAGTAGGCTGTCCTGTGTGCTAGGGCTTCTGTAACAGCAGGGTGGCCTGCATGCTAGGGGCTCTGTAACAGCAGGGTTGCCTGCATGCTAGGGGCTCTGTAACAGCAGGGTGGCCTGTGTGCTAGGGGCTCTATAACAGCTGTTTCATGGGTGTAACTTGAATGATAAGCCAGGTGGCTTCAGATCACTTAGAAGACAGCCAGGAAAAGGCAATTTATGATTATCATCTGAAAAGATGATTGACTGCCCATCATGTAGAATATGCTACCTCTTTTAGTGCTAGGAACGAAGCCCCTGTCTTTTGGCACACAAGCTGAGCCTTCCACTACATACATGCCTTGCCACTCAAGTGCATCTGAACAAAATGTTTATGCCCTGGAAGGACTTCCTCTCACTAAATTTTGTTTGTTTTGGGAATCAGGTGAGAGAAAGTGTGAAGGTGTGCTAAGTATTCAGAGCCTGAAAAGGCAGGGTGACATCCTCCTGCTGGGTTTTGTTTTGTTTTGAGATAGAGTCTCCTGTAGTCCAGGCTGGCCTCAAACTCCGAGGTATGGAAGGTAACCTTGAACTTCTGCTTCACCTGCCTCCCACTTCCTAGTACTGGATCACATGTGTGAGCCACTGCATCTGGTGTGATGTCTTTACCAAGTAGAAATTAGCTGACTCTCCATTATTTCTTACTCTAAGGAGATGTCAGATTGCTAGAATCAATCGTGAGGACATCTGATACCTGGGAGACTTGAAGGCTGGTGTGCCAGAACCAGAAATTGATTTTGGAAAGCTTTTGGAAAAGGCTTTCTATTATGTAAAGGGTTCAGATAGATTATAAGTGATACCAGCTGATTCCAAAGAGAGCCAAGGGCATGCTAACTAGTATTTGAAAATACTTTATACTACTTAAGATGGTTAATTGATTTAGCTTTTATACTATTTAAAGCAGTTAATTGATTTAAAATGAAAATTGATGTAGACTTTATTTGACCTAAATTTTATATTGAAGTTAAGATAGTATAAAAAAAAGGG